TATGTATGTATATATATATTCCATTACACAAGAACCAGAAAACAACCTTATGTAAAAGTATTGGACAAAAACTAAGCCCACAGATAACCAGCAACACTTACCAGCACTTCTGTTGACGGCCCAAGGTCCACGGTTATGCGCAACTTGATACTGCAGTAGAATTTGATGACAGTATCACCGAGGGAAGCGGGTATACCGACTCCGCCTGCAGACAGAATGATTTGTTTTAGTTGCAGTGGGCCAGTTGCAGGCTGGGCGAAACGAGGAAGCGCCGCAACCGGATCAGCTATACCCACCATATTGGCTGGAGGGCCAACGAAAGGTAAAAGGTTAGGCCGGTCACCAAAGGCGAATGGAGGAAGCGGGTTATTCTGTATACCGGGAACAAGAACAGCACCACCAGGTTGAGGAACTGGGCCAGGAGCAATGACAATCGGAACATTTCTATTATCCGGATGCCCGGAGAAATTGTTGTTTACGGGGTGATGGGGAACACTATTTTCGTTCCGATGCTGTCCGGGGGAGTGGCGTCTACGGGACTGAGGTCTTGGAATAGTTAATCCAGTGGGGATAGACAGACTAGGTAAGCTAAACAGGTTAAGACCAGCAACAGTAAGGAGCTGGAGCAAAGGAGAAAAGACACTTGGTGACAACGGAGATTCTGATCTGTTTCCGGAGAACTGAGGACGTGATGGGTCGGCGATAAACGTAGAATCAAGAGACTGATCAAGAGCAGGACGTAAAGCCAGCATACTAAGTAGTGATGAGTACAACATTGTGTGAACGACCGGGCCATTCAGAGCAGTTGCAACAAGTGCAGAGCGGACCTTATTGCAATAGCTGGAGGCTGAGTGGAATGGATTCTGTTGATTGAGGTCATCTTCGGGATTGGAGCTGCCAGTGGATCCTGACGCGTTCTGACGCACGCGTTTAGCGACAGTGCAACACCGTGCCAAGAACAGATCGGACTTTCGCTTTGACCTTGATCTGTTCGGGATGAAAGAGGGGAAGCTGGATGGGGTGGGGTTCTCAACCAGGTTTGAAGATATTAGAATAGTCACCAAGGAAGACAATGTCAGTAACGTAACACAAATCATATATTCCTAGTATATGGTCTGGCTACACTACAATAATCTCCAAAGGCTTGTTTCATTGCTCAGTAGTTGGAAAGGATGAGAAATAGTATAGCATTCTTCACTACTCCAGTGTTTGGAAGGTAATAGTGCAACTCTTCGCAATTCAACTGGATTTGGGTCTCACAAGCGGAGTATTTTGGACAAACAACGGGTGCACTAGCTAAAATAGCACTCCGTTGTTTAGTACTATGCATCACAGCGAACCTATTGAATCAAAACCTCAAGAAAACCCCATATAACAGACTGCTAGCCATTTAAATTAGATCGACGTTCCACGCCTAGGAGACCTGAGAAGAGATGTAGGATACAACAAGGGAACTTCGACTGATGATTAGAAGGGGTTCAAAGTTTGTAAAGAATTGCCATCACGGTGTCGCTCCTCAAGCTGTTTTCCATTCATTCTCCAAGTGGCCTTCGTCTCTTACAACTTCTAATAGCTTCCTGGAAAAACAGTCATGTAATGTTGGGCTAAAATGACCATTTGAACACGGCTGAATGATCTGTAGCGGTCACTTCCTTGTTTCTTCAAGCAACGTCGCTTAATTTGTCTAGTAAATCCGTGCTCAACAGATCACGCGACTCATTTGTTGCGCAAATGAACGGGTCAGATGACAAAATCCTGTCCCCTCGCAACCTACACCGACAACAAGTCAGTTCCCGTCTTGTACGCGTCGGAACGATTCTATGTATACACACTTCAAACCTCCCCATATGTAGGAAGACACAACACAGTCACCACATACATACGCACGCGCGCAAGGGGCACGAAGTCAACCAAACTCCACAAGTCCATGGACAACTACGGAATACATGTAGCAACTATACTGTGGATAAAACACGTCCCCTGTCCGGACTTTCATCCAGGAACTCCAACGAGTTGTAAACGAAAAGTCCACTTTTGACTTACTCCATTTTATACATGGTGCAACTAGTAACTGTAAACTACTGCCAACCATAGTAAAAACTGTTAATAGTCCATATACCTTCTGAAGTATATTATGACTATTATATACTGTGCACTAACAGATCTTCAGATGGCGTGATCCTGGAGAAAACCGAACTGATAAGCGAGTCTGAAGATTGGTATGGTGATAATTAATTTGCGTACCAGAAGAACGAGTCTTGGACCAGAGCTGTTCACTGATTATTCAATGCACCGTAAATAATAATGATAATAAACCGACGGAATGAAAGCAGTGTTCAACACTGATGTTTTTCTGATGTCCCATGATTCAAACGAATACATGACTTGCTTACGCGACCCCTAAGTGACACGGTGTGAGGGCTTCTGGTGGAAGTTTGTACCTGCTAGTGACAGGTGACATTTAGCGGACGAGTAAGACAATCGCTCTCCGCTACACGTAGAGTGCGGGTTTGGGGAACCAGGAAGTAATCACCTCGGTAGTTTGAATTCTTTTTACAAAGTAACTACAATGCGAAAACTCCACACCACAAAAACGGTGTATCGGAAGGGAGCCTCTCCTCATGGGAGAGTAAACTAACACACAGTCTCCCCTTTCGAATACCTGATAACTGTCATTTCGTCGCCGTGCATACAGAAAACAGAGAGTGCATGTGTCAACTGTCATGGCCTAGCTGACAGTTGCCCGTTGAATAAGTCCCAATTCTGAATCAACGAAGACGAGGACAAGAGCTACATCAAATGGGTACATGAGGTTAAAAGAAAGCCCTGTCAAATGTAGAATAAAGGGGCAAACGATCATGAGGATCTCAACTTACCGTGTCACCCTCTGAGAGTCTAAGGACTGACATTGTTGTATTTCATAAGGAGGTTCTGGATGGACTTCGTCTTCAGTAAGTGTCGAGGACAGTCGCAAAAACACATCCACTTTGTCCAACAACACTAGGGAAAAAATGAACCAGCGCATTATACAGGAGCACCATCCACCTACCCTTCTGAAGTTCCTTTATTGAGCAGTTGGCGTAATTTGTGTTATATAAAATTGTGTCAAAATAAGGAAGAACATCCTGACGATCAATATACTTTAACATCTTCTGCATCGTTCTGTGGTTGCTTTCATCAATTTGGCCGCAACGATAAAGATAACGGAAACCCAGTTCGGGCATGCTAGTAGCCTGGGTGAGCTTCCGATTCCAATCTGACTGCCTAGGCATCAGATCCCGATACTTGTGAAGGGCTCGTTTGATGTCCTTGTCGGATAACTTGGCTAGTATCCAACGGTATAATTCACCCACAGAAACTTGACACTTCCAGGCACGAACGTAGCGTAGCTCCTCTCCGTCCGTGGCATTCCTCATAATGCTACAGAGAAACAAATGAACTGTATAACGTAATTAACCGTTCCACAAGGGATAGAGCAATTGAATTTAAAGGGACACTGCATGGTTGTCAGGAGTTAGGGAAGAGCACCCCTCCATATACGGCCTGCTTTTAACTCTTCTTCAGATCCAGTCTAACCTCTGACAATACCTTAACCATTAGCCATTTCACGGGCTGTAAGAAACTTCAAGCCAAATGGCGGACACATACAGATTGGACCTCACTGCTGTGTGACGATTTTCAACAGAGTTATGATGCGGACTGTACAAGTCATCAGAAAAATTGTCATTATTATCTACATTAGTGTTCAAAACTGATGTTTCGCCGCCCTACAAGCACAATTTATTCGAAAGCATTGTGGTGAAGAAAAGAATAAAAATGGATGGGGAAGGACTTAGTGCACAATTAGCCATTTCACGGGCTGTAAGAAACTTCAAGCCAAATGGCGGACACATACAGATTGGACCTCACTGCTGTGTGACGATTTTCAACAGAGTTATGATGCGGACTGTACAAGTCATCAGAAAAATTGTCATTATTATCTACATTAGTGTTCAAAACTGACGTTTCGCCGCCCTACAAGCACAATTTATTCGAAAGCATTGTGGTGAAGAAAAGAATAAAAATGGATGGGGAAGAGACTTAGTGCTAGCCTACCACAACCATTCCGAGGTGCCGACGCCTCAAAACACTCATTCAGATAAACTGGATAGAAACTGACAACAAGAATGCCTGTGACATCGATTAGAATCCAACTCTTACATCGTCTCCAACCACGCACAGGGAAAATCACGCGGACCACATCCTGAAAGACGAGTCTGACCGACAGCACTGACTTTTTGTAATCTCTTTTATACTCTTCTGCTAGGCCAATGACCGACAACCTCTCTCTTGTCAGCATTCTGAATCAAATATGGATAACAGCACTCTCTCCAGCAAACGATGATTCGGCATGCGCAGTACGTGGCCTGACCACCGCACCTTCTGGTGCTGGACACATACTTCGATTGACGTTACCGTTGCACGACCGGACACTCATCGGGACCAACCTACACGAACATGGTTCTGAGACAACGGTTTCATTTTTACTGTTCATATATGCCAGAACTCAAAACCATACAAGGCAGCCCGTACTGCAGCCTGATTTATCACCATGACGTCATAAATACCCGAATTAGATAACACGATTCAAGCCTTAGAGATTTCTATTTAACCTCATCTGTCACACTAAAACCGGAGCTTATAGAACCCCGCGGATGGGCGAAACGCTTTAAAACTTCTAGTGCCTCTCCTTGGATTGTTAATGGCGTGCTCAGTGGCTGCATGGACAGGAGAAAAGCGTATGTCAAGGAACGGGGCAACTTGGGTTACTTCGTTCGAAAACACTTGTGCCTTCTTTTTCCCTTCGAAGAACGACGTCACCCTCAAATCGCAGATCGACAAGATTTTCGTCAACAGCCATCTGAAAGTTAGGCTTTTGAAAACCTAGTGTTTGTCTCATCTTCTCGTCCGTCACGAAACTAAATGGGAATAGGCGGAGTGGGCATTCTTTTCGGACACCACTTTTCCTACAAAAACTACGAGAGCCCCCAGCATATTTTCAGATGTCCACAAGTCTAAGAATACACTGGAAAATCTTCCGAGGTACTCCATGCTGATCAGGTGCGATAAGGATGAGAAACCTGTCAACGAAGTCCAATGCGCTTTGGATACCTAGGAGTACTAGTTGTTGGTTGGTTGCTTATAAACAGAGCGACATGGCTCAGTGGTTAGAGCGCAAATTCATTGACCGAAAGGTCTGTGGTTCTAACCCGATCTCTACCCCTCGACTTCCCCTGTCGAGACTTGGGCAACCTGGCAGTATCCCAGAACTCGTGTTTCCTTCGGGTGACATGGCAGCTAGGCAGCTACAGCTGAAAGCTTATTTTTTTACAACCAAGCCATGGAGGTGAAGGCATATTCGGAGATTGGGCAGCTCCGCATTGAAGGCGATAGCTTTGGTGCACGAGCACCACTGACTGTGTGACTGGGCAACCTCTGCCAATGTCATCAACCATTGGTGATTTGAGGCCCGGGGTCCTCACCCAGGGAGGCGGCAACTGCCGATCCGACTAAGTTTACTGGTTATTGTTCTTGTACATCGTTGCCAGATCATACACTGTCCACCTCTCGGTCGCTTCCACTCAGCACGGGAGTGGGCAAAATAGCTCTGCGAGGTAGGCGGTCTTCTGGCATGCGGAGTACATGTCCCAAACGGCGTAACCTATGAGGCGTGAGTAATTCATATACCGCTGGAGAGTTCTTTCTTCTTAAGACTAACTCAGCATCACTAATCTGATGTTCGCACCAAACCTGACCAATGCTGCAGACGCACCGATGATTAAACACTGACATTTTCCATATATCTGCGCGTAGATGCCACGTCTCTGACCCATAAAGCAGTATGGCTCACACCACCACAGTGTAAACTCTTCCGTTGACAGGCAACCTCACGCCACGTTGGCGCCATAGGTGTCGGAGGTTGGCAGGAGCTGACCTGGCCTTTCCTGTTTGAGAAATAATCTCATCACCAGCCAGTCCACCGGAGCCTATACAGTTACCAGGCAAACAAATTTATCTACCACATCGATTGGATCGCCTGCAAGGATCAGGTGTTGGTGATCCCAGCCAGTTTTGTACACTTTGCAGGTGTAAAACGCATGCCGAACCGTGCGGCGGAGTTATTTAGGTTATTCAAAATGGTTTACATTTGGGAAGGATATGAACCAAGGATAGCAATAACATCTGCATACTCAATGTCTGTGAGCGAACGTCCCGGGAGCATTTCGACTCCCGAGGTTTCAGAGGCAGGCAGAGAAATTTCAAGCAGCATAGCAATGACAAAGTCGAAGAGGAACGATGAAAAACGACAGTTTAGTCTTACACCACGTGGTGAACCCAGGCGAGAACTTCTCGTATACTCGTACGTGCCCCCACACGGGATAGAAGTTTGGAAGGGACACATGTGATCGCCAGACATTGCCAAGGTTGCTGACGATCCACAGTCAAATCCAGAAAACGACCAACGTGGGGCGTCTGAAGGAGTGGCGCTGTTCAAAAATTTGTCCCAAGGTAAAGATATGGTCGATGCATTCCCGACCAGGGCGAAACCCAGCTTGATTCTCATGAATCTGTTCCTTTCGATAATTGATCAACCTGCGCAAAATAATGCCCGAGAGCACCCTAGAAGCGACGGATACCAGGTTGATACGATGGTTTTCACATGATGTTCTTGTTCCCTTTTTGAAAACTGGGTTGACGGTCGAGGAGCTGCATTAGGCTGGTATTTTGTTTTCGTTCCAAATCTTCTGCAGTATGGTTGTCAGACTGTTCACCAGGACTTCGGCACCCTTTTTCAAGAACGCGCGGCGATCCGGGCTAGGTGCCTTGTCAGTCTTCAGGATTGAAATCTCACGCTGTATTTCGGTTGCTGATGGTAGATTGGTGTCAATGTTCCTTTCGGAGCTGCTTGGTTCTTCCAGTAGTTGTACTGAAGGAGGCCAGCCAAAATGTTCTTTGAAGTGCTCAGCCCACCGCTCAAGACGGCGAGTGAGGAAGTGAATTACTGTTCCGTCTTTTTCGCATATTGTCTCACTGACATCTGCCTTCCTTTGACCGGTTGATCGAATCAGTTGAAACAAGGCACAGCTGCTGTTTGCAGCGAAGGCCTTCTCCACCTCTGTCAAGAAGAGACTGGACTCCGTCACGAACAACAATCCTTAACTGTGCGTCCTGGCAGTATTCCGGTACATGTACAACCGTAATACTTACAACTAACAATATTCTCATGTCACATCAACCGGGTCGCCTCACTTGACGCATACAGCAGGGCAAGTAAGCGAAAACAGACTACTGATGACACCTTTCTTTTTATTTCACCTGCTTTCCCCCACTTCATCGATATTTCTTTCCTTGTAGGTCTATCCATGAGGAGTAACGACCAGGTTTACCTTACATCGGTCTTGGAGGTAAAATCTGAACATCACCCGGAACCGACAGACTCAGACATTCCGAAACCAATCGTCAAGCCTCAACACCCGGTCTACCTAATGGTTTTTAGTGGAAGCGGTTCGCATTCCCTGTGACTGCTGAAACGGTCAGCCAGGTTACTGACCAACAGCTTATGCTGCAGCCAGTCATCAAGTACCACCACACTCAATGGCCGGGACCCTGCCTTGAGATGAATTGAGACCTTACTCCAACCGAAATAACGCACTGCTACTAACCGACGGATGCCCTTTATTTTCAAAGGAGCTACAATCATACTGAATCGTTTCCACACAGAGCGGATTCACGGATTGATAACAGGATCGAGGCTTTTGCCCAAGTTTCCGGGTCGGTTTTGTCCTTGTCGTTTATCGGCTGTCGTTTACCTGAAAGGCACAAGTGAAAAAGGGGGTAGCATTGCTCTTATGTTCTCATAAATAAGTGTCTAATAGTGCTTTGAATTGGGTTCTGGAAGGATCGTGGACAACCGTCGGAGGAAGGACATTCCGCGCAGCTACTACCCGAAATGAGAAATTTTGCCTGATGAATGTGCGTGCGCTGAGCTTGAAAATCTTCTTACCATGTCTCCGCCGTGTGTTTGCTGGGTCAATGGTGGAAAACCTGTTGGCCAAGCATTGTTCAAACAGGGCATAAGTAAGAATTAGGTCCCCTCGGAGGCGACTATACTCTAGGGTAAAGAGGTCAAGCATCGCGTTTCGTGGTCCACGGACTTGAGGCCGACTACCATTTTCGTAGCGGCTCGCTGGACACGGTCAATGAGGGTCCTGAGTAGACAACTTGGTTGGCGTATCCAAGGAACGGCCTGAAGTAGGCCCCATAGAGTATTTGTAAGTCCATGCGAACAACACGGGAGAAGATGCGCTGAATCATCCGTAAAATGCCTTTTGGGCCGATTTCTCATTGAGGAGGACAATCTTGGGGAGGGCGTCCGAGAACCAATGGAATGGAAGGCCTAATGGACTGTCACCATCAGAAACAGTGCTCCGAGAGAAGTATCGAACACCGCAGGACACCATCCGGCCTCCAGAATGGCAGCTGAGTCACCGCCACACGATAACTGAGAACCAGTTGAACCAGCATCATCTTTCAGCGAAGGCCAGACAGTATTAGCCCGCGACTACAGTAGCAGTTAGCCTCTCCGGATACCCGAACACGTCGTCCTCCGGCGTGCCAAAGTGCCTTAAGATATTCCAGCAGGCCGAGCCAGGTCGATCCAGCACAAACCAAAACCAGCAGACAAATGCGAGGTTCCGCCCAAAGGACCGAATAAGTTGGTTCTAAAGATGCTTCTAGATACTGTTGATCCCGGAATCATTGCGAAATCCATCAGCTGCTCCGTTGCAGGCCCGCAAGCCATCGAGGCTACCGTAAGCAGAAGGCGGTTCCGAAACCACCTTACCGCTCGCAGCAGTCACAGGTCTGACCTGGTAGTGCTCCCCGCCTTCAAATGGTCAGAAGTTGGACCGCTTGCCGTTGCAGCATGTAATCGAGCTCTGATTGGTCAAAAGTCTGGACGGAACATCCAACCGTGATCCAGTATCTGTCAAATAATGGTTGTCAATGGCTCATTCAGAAAGCATCCAATTTTCCAGAATTTTGTCGCCACATGCACTTCATATACGGGGTGCCGTACATTTGTTTGATCCGGCTTTGACTTTTAATCCAATGTTTGCAGCATTGATGGTTTTCCTGACGGGAACGCTCGGATGCTCGAGACCAGGGACTAAGCTGAGAAAAATGTTGTTAATACATGATGGTGGAATGAATGTGGCGGCATCCCTTAGGCCAATCCCAGTGTCAAAGTTGGAGTTGGCGGCCGCGTTTGGTAGCCCGATTAGCAAATCTAATTGGAGT